AACTTTGTGTGAGCACACAGAGAAAGGTAAAGCTAAGACCACAAGGGTACCACTTTCCACACAACTTCATTTTCATTCTAGAGAGCAAGCGGTGACCACAAGTGAGTCAACAACAGACACAAGAAAAAATGCTCAGGATCACTATCCATCAGGAAATGCAAACCAAAACCTCAATGAGATTGTGCTTTGCCCCAGTTAGAATGGCCCTCCTACAGAAACCAACAAACAACAAATGCTGGAGAGGATGTGGAGCAAAAGGGTCCCTAATCCACTGCTGGTGGGAATGTAAACTGGTACAGCCACTGTTGAAGATAGTATATAGATACACCAGAAATCTGAAAATAGATCTATCATATGACACAGCCATCCTACTCCTAGGAATTTACCAGTGGAAATGAAGTCAGCATGTAAGAGTTATCTGTACCACCATGTTTATTGCAGATTAGTTCACAATAGCTAAGATATGGAATCAACCCAGATGTCCACCAACTGATGACTGATACAGAAAATGTGGTATATATACACTGATCTGTGGTAACTAATGGAGTGCAAAAATGTAATACATGTAGGTAAATTGACATTTTGAGAATTGATTATTTTATATCCCTAGTCTCTACTGTTGAGGAGAGGAACAGTGTTTTGTTTTTTGTTTGTTTTTTTTTTTTCTTAGTATTTGTTGAATTCTTTACTTAGTGGAGGGTTAATCCTATGACTATAACATAAAGGGAAAATATGTCATTGTAAAAAATAAAAGAATATTGGAGGAGGAGGGAGGGTAAGAGCATGGGCTGTAGGGAGGGTTGGCTGCAAATATCTCTATGCTCCCAAATCTGTGTATATGAAATACATGAAATTTGTTCACCTTACGTAAACTTTAAATGTTCAAATGGTCAAATTTTAAAAAAGAAAAACAAACAGAAAAGAAAAATGGATCATATTTGCTTTTATTGAGGGGACAACCATATTGAAGAATGCGATATTTAATATAGTACAAATACTAAATGACCATGTCCCTTGGTTTGGCACAGATAAGCCACCAGAACTCTAACCCGAAGAGGCTATACCGCCACCCCACGCACCCCAGGGCCTCCTTGTGTCATTAGCATGGATAATAGTTTGCTAATATGTTTATTGTACGGTGTTCCAGTCTGCTTTATATTTTCTCTCTTGGTCTCTAATGATATTTAATGGGAATATGTTCAAGTCCAACTGAAATAAAATTTTATAAGATTCATTTCTCTTTAAGAACATTACTTATCCATATACTTATACTTACTCTTCACTTTATTTTTTAGAAAAAAATATTTACTTGAAAGGAAGAGGAAGAGGAAGAGAGAGAGAGAAAGGGAGAGAGAGAAAGAGAAAGTCTTCCATTCACTGGTTTACTCCCCAGATGGCTGCAACAGCCTGAGCTGCACCAAACTGAAGCAGGACCCAGGTTTTCCGGGTCTCCCATGATGGTTCAGGGACCCAAGGACTTAAGCTATCTTCCACTGCTTTCCCAGGCCACAGCAGAAAGCTAGTTTAGAAGTGGAGCATCCGGGTCTCAAACTGGTGCCCATATGGGATGCCGGCAGTGCAAGCAGTGGTTCTACCCACTATGCCACAACTCCAGCCCCCACTTTCTCTATTTTCATGTATCAATCTGACTGCATCCTTTTCTCCTCAGATTCTTTTTTTATAGCAGCAAAATGATAAATTTTGGGAAATCATTTTGCCTAACGTGCCACAAGTCTTTTCACTGGCCCTTGAGGTATGCATTTTGCAGAATTACTCTCCGAGAAGTCAATATATCTGCTCAGTACCCAGGGTGGGTGCAATAAGCAGAGCTCTCAAAATGGTCAACACTGATAATATAAAGTGATTCCTTTATTTGATCACCGCTGATGTTTTATGCCCTGGCCTATGAACTTTGTGTGCTTTATCCCACTGAATCTTCATAATAACTCTGCCGGGTCAGTATTATCACTCGTATTTTATAGATAAAGAAATTAAAGAACATTTTTAAGATCACACAGTTGATAAGAAGTAGAATAAGTGTTTATACTCAGATCTGTCTTACTCCAAAACTCTTGTTTTTCTTCTGTGGGAATTGGTTTCTGCTCGTACATCTATAGTAATTGTGTAATTTTACCAGCTTGTGAGTCAACTGGGTGAGGAAGAAGAGCACAATGAGCAAAACATGGCTAAAGGGACAGAATACTGCATATGCTCTTCTGTTTTGCAAAAGTAATCAGATGAATAGAACTTCAGACAACCAAGAGAACTTTGAGGGCTGGGGTTGCCAGAAATGAGGAAGGCTAAACAAAATCAGTTGAACATAGCTGTTGTCTCTATGAGCAGTATATGATTAAATATTTTAAAGTTTTATTTATTTATTTTAGAGACAAAAACAGAAATAGAAGACAGAGAACTCTTACCCACTAGTTCACCTCCCAAAGGCCCACTAAAGACAGAGCTGGGCCAGGCCAAAGATGGAAACTCAGCCCAAGTGTCCTGCATGGGTTGCAGGGACTTAACGACTTGAACCAACCCCTTGTACCTCCCCGGGTGCACATTAGCAAGAAGCTGGAGTCAGGAGTAAAGCCTGCACTCACATCCAAATACTCCACTGTGAGATGTGGCCGTCTTAAGCAGTCTCTTAACCACTAGACCAATACCCCAAGAATACGATTATTAAATGACCTAATAGACTGTTGACAGAGAGATACTTGCTGATGATCATTGACTGTTTACTAGACCCTGGAGCTTTGCAAGAGAGAATATAGGCTTACCTTCAAATTTGAATGAAAAATACTTTAACATGCTTCACAGTTTTAAAAATAATAATCCTGGTGTTATCATTAATTGTGATAAACAAACATTGCTGAATTTTGGAATTATCTAGGGTGCTTCTAACAATATCTGAGCCCTGGCCATAATCTTTGTCAATTATACAAGAATTTCTGGGGCTGAGACCCAGGCATCAGTAACTGTGAGAGCACCCCAGTTGATTCATGATCCACTGATAGATCTTTGCCTTTCAGTGGAGAGGGTGCACTGTGGTAAGGGCTGTGACCTGGCACAGGAAAGAGACTTATTTGGAGGATTAAAAAAATCCAGAAATGAGTTAATTTGGACAAAGTAGACCTTGCTCAACATAGAATTCATGAAACATTGGTTCTAGGACATGTTAGTGATATTTAAATATATGAGAAACAGTGAGGATTGTCAAATATATTTGGTAATGCTGGGTCAATCACACAGGAGTTTTCTTTTTCATGCTATTGTTTGTTTTTTTGCTACCTTTTTAATCCTAGACCTCTTCATTGTCTAAAATTCTTCCATTCATTATAACTATCTGAAAGAGAACTGAATATGTAGTGCTTTATAAATTCATATTGCTGTATGTATCTGAAGTAGTGTTTCATGGAACATATTCTAGGATATAACAACAAATTGTCAGAAAATAGCCATAGCTTATTGAGCTATAGGTAAACATATTGGGTTGTTTGAATTTTTCCCAGACAATACAATGATTAGGTACTAGCAGACCCATTTATAGATAAGGAAATTGATGCTCTTAGTGGTTAAATCATCTCCTCAAATTCATATGAAGAATGAGATTGATAGAATTCAAACAAGTCTCATGATTCTTGGCCCAATAACTTTTCTTTGTATTTACAGCTGTTGTAGATGTTTTCAACAAAGTCTCTTGTCATCTTGGGCCAGGTTAACCAGAAATTGTTATACTATGGCCATAATCACCACTGCTACGTGCTTTATACTCTTTCAGGCAGTTTAATGTTGGGGTTTAAGTTTTCCTTTGACAAATTCTCGATTATGTTTATGTGACTAAATATAGCAGGTGTGCATTGCAAAATAACTGGCAACAATCTCCTTCAACCCCTCTTTCACTCCCCATGAGCCCTGCACCTCCACCCAAACCTCATGTTGCTTACTTCCCTTGTTCAGCACCCAAGAGATGTTAAATTCTTAGGTGGTATCCTCAGAGAAGCAAGCTCTAGTGGCACTGACTTTATTTTAATGATTGAATCACTGTGTAGGGTACTGTGGGAATATGTATGAAAGCTCAATTATATTTCCTGCCTCACTGAGTGAATGTCGGATAGAAAGATGGGCTCTGCCTACAGTGTAAAACATCACAGAGATCAAATCGGTTCCCCTGCATTTGCACATGGCTGATAATCAGCTCTCCACATAAACAGGCTGACAGATGAAGCCAGTTATCTTAAATAGGTGTCCGCATCCTGCTAGCATCCGTACCTGCCTTGACTCCACACTCCTAGCAACTGAGTAGCAAGCTGTACAGCCCAGAGACTCGCTTTCCCCTGGACAAGGCAGTGATGATTCCAAGAAAGGGGTAGCCCCACAGCAATGCATTTTTCTGGAATCACAACAGAATCAACTACCACCATGAGCTGCTTTGTGAGATAACCAAAACTTACACTTCTAAGTGTCAATGCATTAAGCATGTTCAAGTTTCAGCTTGGAATCTCCTGAAATTTTTCAAGTTTATTTAATTTATTTCGAAGGCAAAGTGCCAGAGAAAGACAGATGGAGAGTGATATTCCATATGGTGGTTCACTGCCCAAATGTCCACAATAGCCAGGTGTGGGTCAGGATGAAGACAGGAGCCAGCAGCTCAATCCAGGTCTCCCACATGGGTGGCAGGGACTCAACTACTTGAGCCATTACCATTGGATCTCCAGTATGCACAAACAGAAGCTGGAATCAGGAATGGAACTGGGTCTCAAACCCAGGCACTCTGATGCAGGATGTGATCACCCCAAGTGACCTCTCAATTGCTATATCACATTCCCATTCCACAAAATGCATTCCTGAGGCAACACCCATCTACTCAGCACTAACTGCATTCTAGACATTGTGACAATGGCAAGAGAAAAAAAGATAGAAAACTAAATGTTCCATGAATAACACTTTGGATTATTTCCTTTGGGTAAAGTACAGATTTTAATTAATGGGTCTTTTTTTGTTACCTCCATTCTGACAGCTCTGATGTTGATTGGTGAGGCTGGAGGAAAAGTGACCCTGAGATAAAAAAAAAAAAATAAGGTGTTTTGTGAATATGCTTCCATTCCTTCCACAAACATTCTGCAAGTACTAGTCATATTCATAACACACTTTAGTCATGGGCGATGCTATGTTACATAAAATATCTTTTCTGTTAGTAGGAACAATATAAACTGATCAAATCATGGTTAGAAGCATATATGGAGGGCAGCGGGGACATCACAAACAGATCTGTATTTAAATAATCATATGTTTATGCAATATCCAGGTATTCTGCAGGGGCAGAATGGTACAAGCAAGTGGAATCAAATTAAGAGGGGGCACAGAACCTTCTGATATGTTCCTACTTAAATTAGTGCAGCTTCTTCTATTGCAAAAGGAACTGACATCATTTCTATTCAGTTGTGTGCTCACCAGCCTCCTTAATACAGCTTCAGGGATTAAATGTTTCCCCATAGACAATGCAGGTGTCACTTCTGAGAAACGTGCACACTCTGTTAACACTAAAGGTGGCAGCCAATTCTGGAACTATAATTGGAGCTTTTCTTCTCCATTCCAGTTGCATGATTTCTCTTTCTCTTCAGTGACTTCCCTAACTTTATAAATGAATACAAAGGCTCAGCCTCGCGCTGCAGCAGCGATATTTGCTTAATCCCTTTAGCCATCTGTAAAGCAGGAGTAATGCACTCTATCAGCTCATCAGTAGTGTGTGTGAGAGTGCAAGTGTGTGCGCAGGCATAATGCAGATAATGCATCCAGAGAAGCCCACCTGAAAGCACATTTGTGTTTATTTAAAGATTTAAATAACACACGGCAAAGCCGTGGCTTTGCAGGCTAAAATAACCCTCAGAGCTGGTTATTCTCATTGTCCACTTGCACATGAACTTGGTCATTGCTCTTTAATTTTGACTCCAGGTTTATGATGACATATGCTTAAGAAAGCATACTATATGCAATTCTAGAATTTGCTTTAGCCACATTCAAATTCTACGTGGTGTTAACTCATTTGTTTTTCATTAAGTTCTTTATTAACAGCCAAATCCCTTGGTTATTACACTTCTCTGAACTTTCTTGTTAATCTTACTTACAAGTCACATAATGCCTGAATACATTTCTCTGAAATGTTGTTGAGATAAAAGGGCTGACAGTGACAGTAATTAACTTCTAAATAAATATTAAAATGAGAGGGCATTGTAAATACCCCTGGTGCAATGGATATATGACTAAGTCCCTAGGACATTCAGCAGCCAGTCTGTCTCCATTTGAGCTGAGGGCAACCCTGCCACTGGTTTGGGAGATGTTTATTCTGAGTTCTCGGCTGTAGCTAAAACACATATTTAACAGTTTGCTCTTCACACTGTGGGCCATTTGACTATATGTTCTCCTGTCCAATATTCTTCACTTACTTATATTTATTCCTAGGTAGGGACGAGATTCAATGGTTTTGTCTTCCCACCCCCACCCATTCGCAGAAGATTCTTACACACAGCCTGCTGGAGGCTTGATTGGGACTCTCTCTGCGTTGGGTTGAGGTTCATTTGCTCACAAGATATTCATTGCAAATCTGTGAAACCAAAACTGTGAAAGTGCCACGCGATTGGCTGTGGATCTCTTTGCCATATGAAAGCAGAACTCACACCCGTGCAAGTGTGAAGTCTGGCATCCGACTGACAGATTTGAAACACTGGCTCTGACCCTGATTAGAAGTTACTTTGGGAAGATGACTTAACGTCTCCAAGTCTTAAATCCCTTGTAGGTGACATGTGGCAAAAAAAGTTCTGCAATAGAGATGTTGCAATTACTAAATGGCATAATACAAGTAAGGTGATTGGGGCTGGGCACTTGTCACCCATCATCAGCTAGATCTCTGAGATGTGGTGCTTTGGCAAAGCTTCCTGCAAGAGGTAAATACACCATGATTTCAGTAACTTAGCTTTACTTGTTTATTTACATTTATTTCTCTAGCATGGGTGGGGAACTTTTTTCTGCCAGTGGCCACTGGGACATTTGTAACATCATTTTCAGGTCATACAAATTTATCTACTTAAAAACTAACCTGCTATACATTTGTTTGATTTTGAGTTCCATAAGCACTTGCCTTGGTAGGGCTAGACCAAATGATTTTTGTCATGCTTAAAAGGCCCATAGGCTGGACATTCCCCACCCCTGCAACAGCAGTAGAGACAGTGATGTGGGCTAAAGCTATATTTTTAAGAGTATTGTCTTTCCTTTGACATTCCTCTACAAAGTGCACCCAGCTTCTGCAGGATAGGCTCAGCAGCTGGGTGCCCAGATCCATGTTTTTTTTTTCCCCCACATGGCAGTGGGTAGCTTGAGAAAATGAAATATAAAATCCTGTTGGAAGAGGAAGTCAACTCACACAAGAAGATTGAACAAATATGAGAGCAAAAATGAAGAGAGTAAAGAAATTGAAATGTGGAAGATGAAATCCAGGAGGAACAGGGCTGATGGAGTGAATGGCCTCCTGGATGCCAGATGTATAATAACGGTTTGATATTCACATGTTTTTAGGTACACATTGAACTTCTCTGACCCCCCAAGTAAAACAGTTTAAAAGCAATGGTGTGTGTATGTGTGTGTGTGTGTGTGTGTTTATTTGAACATGCTGATGCTGAAAATCAGTCAGATGGAATTGGCAAGAGGTTATAGAACCTCCTCTGCCTTATGTCATAGTTCACATGTAAATTCTTGAGGGAATTGAGATAGTAGTCTTGAGAAGGGGCCCACTCACATGGAGAGAAATCTGAGCTGACTATGAAGTCAAACAGACCCTGTGCTGGCATTGCCATCCATCCCTGTGTGAGAAGGAGGCAGCATTCTCAAGGATGTTGCTAGAACAGTAGCAGCAGCCTTCCCTGGCAATGTGTTAAGAATACAAATGTTCAAGCTTTACCTGCGTCTTGTGGGATCAAGACATACTCGGTTGGAGACAAGAAAGCTCTTTTAACAACCCCCAGTCCATGAATTTCATGCACACAAACTTTTGAGAACCACGCCACGGTAATGAGTGCTAAGGGTTGTCCCTAATATGTTGGATATTTGCATTGAGTTTACAGGTCAGGTATTCTATCAACCCCAAAATGAGATGTTGCTTGGCATCAGAATTTTTCTTTCACTCTAGATCCCCACAACGGATGAGATCACAAGTAATCAGTTAGCTCAGATTCTGAATGGCTTTGGTGGAAAACACATCATCAGGTTTTGGAAAATACCTCATTCCTCTCCTTCAAGAGGATGGTGAGCAGAGCCTTGGGGGCCCCTACTACTAGCTATTGTCAGGGAGTGCTGGTTACACATGGAAAGAATTTCTTATTATCTTCTGCTTTTCACAGAGTTACCAGGAGCTATTTTTAAGTCACCAGGAAAACACAGCCCAATGGGATATTAAGATTGGTACTTCCATATTTAGATCATAGATCTATATTATAATCATTAGGCCTGTAGACTCAGGACTGAAATTAGATAACCAAGAGACTTTTTAAGAACATTGAGCATGGACTGTGAATCCTTTTACCATCTAGAAAGAGCCAACAATCCTATAGCGGTACAAAGGATGAATTTGGAAGATTGTATTGTGAAGATGAAAATGAGTAGATGGAGTTGCCTACCAGCTGTTTCTTCTGGAGTGAAATGTTTCTGTTTGAGTTGAAGGGACCTGTTTCACCCCAAAGGCAGTCAGTTTGGCACTTTTAATTCCATAACTCTTTCCTGTCTGTCCTTTCCCGGGATTTATTTATCAACACATTTTCCAATCTTGTTTTTGTAAATTCAAACCATTTCCTGGTTCTAAATTGTGTTTTTTATGTGCAATCATTTATAATTTTTCATTTTCCTCCAAACATTTTCCTTTACCCCATGTCATACACCCCGTACCATTTTCCTTATTGCTGTTTCATTTAATCTTGTCAATCATTTATTCTGCAAATGCATTCCTCATGATAACATTACATGAAATGTCATTTTTTTTTTTTTTGACAAGCAGAGTGGACAGTGAAAGAGAGAGAAAGAGAAAGGTCTTCCTTTTGCCTTTGGTTCACCCTCCAATGGCCGCCGCGGCTGGCGCAGGATCCGATGGCAGGAGCCAGGTGCTTATCCTGGTTTCCCATGGGATGCAGGGCCCAAGTATTGGGCCATCCTCCGCTGCACTCCCTGGCCACAGCAGAGAGCTGGCCTGGAAGAGGGGCAACCGGGACAGAATCCGGTGCCCCGACTGGGACTAGAACCCAGTGTGCCGGCGCTGCAAGGCGGAGGATTAGCCTAGTAAGCCCCCGCGCCAGCCAAATGTCATTTCTGTGTTGATACCAGGGTAACCATTCTGGAAATATTTCTATTTCTCATTGACCTCTCACAAATTACTCTTACATAATGCTGATTAATTTGTAATCAGCAGTTTTGAAAGCAGAACTCCATCTATATCATGAAAATGCATTTTGATGCATTTTGCAATGACACAGTTTCTTAATATAAGGAAATAAATGTGCTTAAACCCAAATTATGAGGCCGGTGCCTTGGCTCACTAGGCTAGTCCTCCACCTTGCGGCGCTGGCACACCAGGTTCTAGTCCCGGTCGGGGCACCGGATTCTGTCCCGGTTGCCCCTCTTCCAGGCCAGCTCTCTGCTGTGGCCAGGGAGTGCAGCGGAGGATGGCCCAATACTTGGGCCCTGCGTCCCATGGGAGACCAGGAGAAGTACCTGGCTCCTGCCATCGGTTCAGCGCGGTGCGCCGGCTGCAGTGTGCTGGCCGCGGCGGCCATTGGAGGGTGAACCAACAGCAAAGGAAGACCTTTCTCTCTGTCTCTCTCTCTCTCTCTCTCTCTCTCACTGTCCACTCTGCCTGTCAAAAAAAAAAAAAAAAAACCCAAATTATGGAAATGCATCTTCAATGAAGTAGAAGCTTTCTTTCCAGTTCCTTTTTAATTTTTCTCAATTTTTTGCTGCTCACTTTATACTTCTGCATCTACAAATAACTTTGTAAAATAGCTCTATGTGTTTACGCA